ACAGTGAAGGAGTATCTATACTACCCATTGTGTCTGTTGATAATACATCAACATCATTTGTTAGTACACTGAGGTTTAATCCAATAACATCATCAACTCCAGTATCAACACTTGGTACTTACACTTGTGTAGCATGGATAGGAGAACAATCAGTTAGAAATATAACATCAAATAATGTACAAGTTTTGATGAAAAGTAAGTATTATATCTCTAACGTGTTTCTTTTATGTTGTTTTTTATAGTCAATAATCCTAGAGATGTTGTTAGTATGACTCAACTGAATGAATATACAGCTGGAGACAGTTTTAATGTATCTTGTATGATTACTGCTTATCAATTATCACCTCCTATTGCTACTAAGGGTACTGTTAATATTATGCACAATGATAGCGTTATTAGGTCAGATGCATTTGATATTGGTGCCACTGGTAGTCACGAACGATCTTTAGACATTCCCTTCACTAATTTGAAATTATCACAATCAGGAGAATATACTTGTTTTTATAATCGCAGTAATAATTCATTTGTTCAACCAAGTGACGTTAAATCAGCTACTACTAAACTAAACATTAAAAGTATGTGTTCACGTTATTAGAGAGTAAATAATTTTTAGTTTTCATTTGTATAGTTCCAACTAGTGGCATATCACTGGTTCACAGTCCCAATGAATCCTATTACAAAGTTAATAATGATGTCATTCTTTCTTGCAAGGTTGCAGAACCTGACCCAACACTGGTTGATGTTGAAACTACTGCAATGGTTAAATGGGATTCTAGTAATAATATCTCACAGCAATATTCTATTCACTCATACAATGAATATTTCAATTATCCTCTCACTAGTATAAAGCTATCTGATGCTGGAGAGTACAATTGTACATATTATCTCAATGCTACCACTGATAATCCTTATATTAAGCCAAGTAATATTAGAGCAGGAGTGACTAATGTAATAATTAAAAGTGAGTATTTTCTTAATTTTTCATAGATTTTTTTTAATTTTAAGTTCCTAATGGTGTTAGTCCATCAATTACTCAGTTAAATTCACATTATAAAGTTGGTGACAGCATTGATCTTGTTTGTTCTGTCACTTATCCACATTCTTGGCCTCCTATTGATATTGCTACTAATATGAACATACAATGGCTCAATTCCTCTAATCACACTCTACACTCATATACTGGTATCAATAATAATTCTGAACACACTATCAGTTACACTATCAATAATGTGTCATTATCTGATGCTGGAGAATATACTTGCCAGTACAATATATCAAGTACTAATAATTCACTTGTTCTACCCAGTGATAACATGAGAGCTTCAACTAATGTTTCTGTTAAAAGTAAGTTATTTGTACTGTGATGCTACAATTATTTTCATCTCCCTCAGTTCCTAATGAGGAGACTCCAGTAATTTCTAATCAGTCTGTGCATGATGCTGGAGATGACATTACCCTCTCATGTTCTGTCACTTATACACGCTCTTCTCTCATTGATGTCAATACTTATTTAACTCTACAATTGTTCAATTCCTCTAATGACACTCTTAACTCCAGTACCATTATCAATAATAATACTGAACACACTCTTACCTACACTATTAGTAATGCAAGACTATCTGATGCTGGACAGTATGCTTGTTCCTTTTCTGTTAATACCAGTGTTCCTCATATATTTACAAGCAATACTACTAAAAGTTTTATCATCATTAGTATAACAAGTAAGTTCAATTGATATAATTTTCTAAAATTTACATCTAATCTGCAGTACCAAATGACATCACTTCAGATATACTGGTCCATCCTTCCAAATCCTACTATAATGTTAATGATAGCATTACTCTCTCTTGCATTATCCATTATACTACTAATCACCTTATTGATGTTAATACTACTGTGAACATACAATGGCTTAACTACAGTCTGGACTCATATAGATCTGGACTCAATGATCAAGACCAACACACTTTTAATTCCACTATCAGCAGTTTGAATCTAACTGATGCTGGAAACTATACTTGCTCCTTCTTTATTAGTGCACCAATGAACAGTAATATTATACGCAGTGAAGCAAATTACAATTCCACAAGTATTAGAGTTAAAAGTAAGTATTAAAATGATAAATGATAATCATCACTGACACTATTCCTTATTACTTTTTAGTTCCTAAAGGTAAAAATCCCTTAGTTACTCAGTTAGAGTCCTATTATAGAGTTTGTGACAATATTGCTCTAACTTGCTCTGCCACTTATCCTTCTTATATTGCTACTAATATGAACATGCAATGGCTCAATTCCTCTAATCACACTCTGCACTCATATACTGGTATCAATAATAATACTGAACACACTATCAGTTACACTATCAATAATGTGTCATTATCTGATGCTGGAGAATATGCTTGCCAGTACAATATAAGTTCTAATAATTCATTTGTTCTACCCAGTGATTATGTGAATGATTCAATTAAAGTTTTTATCAAAAGTAAGTTATTTGTATTGTGTTGCTAGACCAATCATTTTCATTTCCTCAGTTCCTAATGACAAGATCCCAGTAATTAATCTCATTCCTCATCAGTCTGTGTATGATACTGGTAGTAACATTACTCTCTCTTGTTCTGTCACTTATCCATACTCCTTCTACATTGACATTGATACTAATTTAACTCTACAATGGTTCAATTCATCTAATGACAATCTTAACTCCAGTACCATTATCAATGATAATAGTGAACACACTCTTACCTACACTATTAGTAATGCAAGACTATCTGATGCTGGACAATATACTTGTTTCTTTTTTGTTAATGCAACAGTGAACAATGATGTCATACACAGTGAAACAACTTCTAGTGTTACCAATATTACTATTATGCGTAAGTCATTACAGCTTTTATTTTACCTAAAATATTTCTATTAGTTCCTAGAGGCACAATTCCTTCTATAACTATTAGTCAAGATGAT